CATGAAAGGTTAAGAGATTGGTCAAGCATGATTCCCCCTTGATGAAGCCATGTTGACTGCCCCTCATAACCCTCTTATCCTTCATATGCCTTAAGATGGCACCAAGGATAAGGTGTTCCATCACTTTCCCAGGGATGGAGGTGAGGCTGACCAGTCTATAGTTACCCAGGTCCTCCTTCTTGCCCTTTTTGAAGACTGGAGTGACATTTGCTTTCCTCCAGTCCTCAGGCACCTCTCCCGTTTCCCAAGACTTGGTAAAGATGATAGAGAGTGGTCTAGCAATGACTTCTGCCAGTTCCCTCAGCACCCGCGGGTGCATCCCATCTGGACCCATGGATTTATGGATGTCCAGATTGCTCAACTGGTCTCTAACCCATTCCTCATCGACTAAGGCAAACCGCCCTGTTGACCTGACTTCATCTAAGGTCTCAGGGGTACAGGACTCTTCAGGACTGCCTGCAGCAGAGTAGACAGAGACAAAGAAGGCATTCAGTAACTCTGCCATCTCTGTATCTTCTGTCACCAGGGCACCCATCCCGTTCCTCAATGGGCCTACATTGCCTCTGGTGTTAGTTTTATCTGCCATGTATTTGAAAAAGCTCTTTTTTGCTGTCCTTGACCCTTCTCGACAGGTTTAATTCTAAGGAGACCTTAGTCATCCTAGCTGCCTTCCTACATCCTCTAGCAGTAGCCTTATATTCCTCCCAAGTGGCCAGCCCCTCCTTCCATGACCTGTAAACTCTCCTCTTCCACTTGAGCATACCCAGCAATTCCCTATTTAGCCACGCAGGTCTCCTGGACCTCTTCCTTGACTTCCTATGTGTCGGGATGCTCTGATCTTGAGCTCGGAAAAAGCAATCCTTGAATGTCAACCAACTATCTTGGGCCCCTTTACCTTCAAATAGCCTTGCCCATGGGATTTCCCCTAGCAATTGCTTGAAAAGGGCAAAGTTTGCCCTGCTAAAGTCCAGGGTTGCAATTCTACTTGGTATTCTACTGGTCCTACCACACAAGATCCTGAACTCCACCATCTCGTAGTCGCTGCAACCAAGGCAGCCCTCAACCCTTACTGCTTCGACCAGACCCTCCTTGTTAGTGAGGATGAGATCCAGCAGCGCTCCTCTCCTGGTTGGCTCATCCACCATTTGCAGGAGGAAGTTATCATCCATACACTGGAGGAACCTCCTGGACTGTGGCTGGGTTGCTGAGTGGTCCTTCCAGCAAACATCAGGGAAGTTAAAATCCCCCACGACGACCACGGCCTGTGACTGTGAGGCCGCTCTCAGCTGCCTGTAGAAGGCCTCATCAACTTCCTCACCCTGATCTGGGGGTCTGTAACAGACACCAACAACAGTATCCCCCCTGCCAGCCTGCCCCTTAATTCTCACCCACAGACTCTCAACTCGCTCGTCATCTGTCCCTGGACAGAACTCGGTGCACTGTAGTTGCTCCCGCACATAAAGAGCAACCCTACCACCCCGCCTGGCTGGACTGTCTTTCCTGAAAAGGACATAGCCCTCCATGACTATATTCCAGTCATGTGAGCTGTCCCACCACGTCTCTGTAATTGCCACCAGATCATAGTCTCCTGACTTAACACAGGTTTCCAACTCCTCCTGCTTATTTCCCATGCTGCGCGCATTGGTGTACAGACATTCCAGGGAGCGAGCTGAGCACACCGATTTCACCCTAGGATTATAGGAGGCCTCCCAGTCTTCATCAATTCTGGAGCGCTGCCCCACTGGGGCAAGCCCAGCTACAACGCCATCCCCCTTCGAATCTAGTTTAAAGCTCTCCAAATGAGCCCTGCTAATTCGTGCCCCAGCATCCTTTTGCCTCTGTGAGATAAACCTTTCCCACTTGTCATTGTCCAGACTGGTGCCCTATAAAACCAGCTGTTATCAAAGAATCCAAAGCCCTGCCTGTAGCACCAGTCTCGAAGCCAATTGTTTATGGACTGAATCTTCCCATTCCATCCCACATCATCAGTGGAAGATGGAAGGAGTGAGGAGAAGATCACTTGAGCCCCAGACTCTTTCACCATCCACCCCAAGGCCCTGTCGTCTTTCTTCATCCCCCTCAGACTGCGGGAAGCAGCTTCCTCCCCACCTGTCTGGAAGACCAGCAGTGGGTAGCAGTCTGTCGGATGCACCAGGTTTGGGAGCGCCCTGGGGATATCCCTGATCCAGGCTCCAGGCAGACTACACGCTTCCCTATGATGAGTGTCAACTCTGCATAATTGGGCCCTCTGTTCCTCTCAGAAGGGAATGGCCTACTACAATGACCCTTCTTTCTTTCTTATCAGAGGCAGTCTTGAGGTGCAAAGTCGACCGCCTTTTCCTATGTGGCCTTGTAGGCTGGCCTTGCCCCACATTCTCACCTACCTCTCCTTCAAGATCCAGGGCCTCAAACCTATTACGGGGGGACACCTGGGGAAGCAGGGCAGGAAGGGAGGAGGGTTTCCCACGACGCCGAACTGGAACTCGCTTCCAAGCCTCATCGTCTTTTTGGTCCCCTACCTCTGCGCAACAGCTACAGGGCAGGGGCTGTCTCGGGCCATCCCCCTCTGTGTGAGAAGGCAGGTGGTCCTTCCCCCTTTGGGGGGTATCTCCCTGGAACTGTTCCAACTGGCATGGCAGGGAGTTACTCCACTTGGTTCTTTTGTCATATTCTCTTTTTGCTTTTAAAATTATCTAAACTGGTGGAGTTTTCATTATGCTGCCACCAATGTAGTTGCTTGCAGACAAACACCACGTATTTGGGTTCAAAACTCACAGCTCCACATTGGTTATTCTACTAGTTCAGAATTCACCCTTTTTATTAGTATTATTATTAGGCTTTCTCCCTTCATTTCTTATTTACCATTGCTACTATTCTTTTGTGTTAGAGAACTTAGTCTTCATAGTTCTGACAGCTCATTAGAACAACTAGCTGGCTGCCAGGGTGAGTCAGCAACATGACTTTCACAGAAGAAAAAAAAGGAGAAAAGAGAATGCCTCCAGGTGGAATAAAATTATAGATTACTCTTCAGCGTAAGGGAAGCCTTATAAGCCTTTTTAAATTTTGTTAAGATACTAGCAGGCAATGAGAAGGGAGGAGAGAGAATACTGAACCCCTTACCAAAATGTAAAGTGAGAAACCAGTTCCTATGATATTGTAGCTTTACAGTATTATCATGGTTCTTTTTTTGCATGTCTGAGATTTCTATAGTTTAGAGCTGTAATTTATAACATGGGACAGGAAAAAAGCTAACAACAGTGATCTACAAGATCATGCATTGTCAAAGACATCACTGTAAGACCCTCAAGGTTATGTGAAGAGATTTGTTGTGTTTTGCATTTACTGTAAATTAATATTCTGCTTCTCTGTCTAGATTTTACCAAAGATAAAATATCAACTCTGACAGGAACTCTGTACCTGTCGGAAGTTTTGTGATCTTTGCAAAATTTGAACCTATTCTCACGCCCTTAATGAGTGGGGCAGTTCCAGACTTCTCCCCTTCCATTACCCTGTACTTTCACTGTCATAGGTGATTACCCTACTGACTGAATTCAAAATTCTGGTCTGTTAAAATTCCCCAGCCACCTTGGTCACTGACGCAGATAACTGGGGCAATACAGAGGATGAAAGATGATGATGAGTTGGGACAAATGTATTTCACTGAGGAAACAGAGGACAGGTGATGCAATCACCACTGTAATTTGGCAGCCAAACACCACTTAATGTTCTTTGCCTAAGGGGATGCATTTCACCACTTGTAAATCTGCCACACATCCAGGTTTTAGCAGTAAATTAATTTAGTGGTTTATGGAAGATCAGACCTCACTTCTGCTAAATGAAACTGTTACAGAAGTCACACAATGATAAAAAGCACAAGACCAATTTTCCTCAATTTGCTAGTTCTGCACTTCCTCAATACTCAACATTTTAACTGTTTTCTAATACCACTGAGTGGAGCTCAAATACCAACTTAGAAAAAATTAAGCCTCTCATGTTGTCACTAGGATCCACTACACATTTTTGAATCTACCTCATTCACAGCCTTCAAAACAGAGTGATACTGTTTACAGTGCAAATATTCATCTAGAGGCAGATCAGAAGTAAACTGAATTAATGCATCTGGGCAGGAACAACCCCAGGTTCCAGTATAGGTTGGGGACCGACCTGTTAGAGAGCAGTGTAGGGGAGAGGGACCTGGGGGTCCTAGTGGACGACAGGATGACCATGAGCCAACACTGTGCCCTTGTGGCTAAGAAGGCCAATGGCATCCTGGGGTGTATTAGAAGGGGGGTGGTTAGTAGGTGGAGAGAGGTCCACCTTCCCCTCTACTCTGCCCTGGTGAGACCGCATCTGGAACATTGTGTCCAGTTCTGGGCCCCTCAGTTCAAGAAGGACAGGGACCTGCTGGAGGTCTCTCTGTAAAAGAAAACTAATGGATACAAAGTAATTCTAAAAGTACGTTTTTAATAATATCTCTAGCCTCTGTGCACACAGCTGAAGAGGACTTGCACTTTCTCTGTGTAGTCAGCCATATACATGGCCAATTGTAAAGTTTCTCTCCACTTATGTGGCTGGAATTTAAAAAATACTGTCAGGAAGATAAAAAAAATGCCCAAAGATGCTGAAAGGTGTGGTAACACTTCGGGTGGCACAGAGATAACCACAGTTAACTCAATGTCCAGAAGTATGTTGAAGTATACCATCCTTCTGCAGTTGCTTACACAGGCATTGAGCTTCATTAAAATTTAGAGAGTTGCAGCCCTTTTATTTCTTTTAATCTAATAGGATAATTATGGTAATAAATGCTGTAGCAGCAAAGGAGGAAAAAATAAAAAAGTTTCTCAGAGTAAATTTTGTTCTTTTACCTGGATTATTTGTTCCTGAAATACAGAATTTCATCTTGTACTGTAAATTACAAAATGCATAACCACTACTATGTTAAGTAGAATAACTCACTTGTATTACTAGTTTACTTTTGATTAGTCCATATATCCCCTTACCTTAGCTATGATGCGGCACAGATGAGCACCTTCTTGGGTAAGGCTGAATAAACTGCTAATCGCCGATGCAGTGATGTACATACTATCTGACAATTCTATTTGTCTCAGCAGGTTCTGTGTGACAGAAGATTAAATAAACATGATTTACTTTTAGTGAAAACCGTTAGTGTCACATTTAAAGGTAAGATGTAGCAGAAAGTCTAGTTCATTTAGAACATATCATCTTGCTTCTCACCCAGAAAAAGGAAAAAAAAAACAAACCCTATGGTTAGGAGTCAGACTGATAACACTGTAATGCATTTTAGCATTGCATTTGAATAGATATAACCAAGAATAGTGATATTTAAAAATAAATATGAAAAGAGAAAGAAAATGGGGGGGGGGGGGGGGAGAGAGAATATTTAATAAAGAACTCTTCAGCTACTTAAGTAAGTTATTATTGGATATGTCCTAGGATTGAACTAAAATTTTCAGAAGGCAATGGATTCTCTTAGTGTAGAAGTGTATCACAAAGTGATACAAGAATTCCACCTTATTTATAAGGAATATTGTTATATCCTTTCTAACACTACTTTCTAAGGCTCTGGGTTCATCACTATTCTGTGATGAAAATGTCATTGACAAATACAGAGAAATCTCAGAGGAATATAGTTTATTTTTCCAATGTATGAAATAAGTTAAATATTTTTATATTTGTAAATAGTTATCTTGCTTTTGTATGTGTGCCATTGCAACTTCACAGAAAAGCACAGCTGTCAAGAATATGAAGCTTATTTGACTTTTCTATTTCTGAGAGTACATACAATCATTAGAGGAAGCATTTATAATATAAGAAAGAAGGTAAACATTTTACGTTTAAACCAATTTTGAAAGAAGTGCAAGGAGGTGTCCCATATGTTACACTGTTACTTATACAAAATTCGATTAACTTTCCCTTTGGAGGTGGTATTCTTCCAACTTTAGAATTAGAAAAATGTTCCATAAAAGTCATAATTTATCAATTCACATGTTGATATGCACCTTTCTTGAATAGAATCCTGACGCACCAATTAATTAAAAAAAGCTCTTGAGTACAAAATTTAAGCTGAGAGTTCTGGCCTCTCGTGCGGGCACCTAGTCTGTTACACAGCAGCAAACTACCCGCAGATGCATGCTTCTTAGCATGTGGGCATGTAGTTTGACTGAATGGCTCAGAAAACTGTTCTTCAAAATGTTTTCATTAATGATCTCTAATTTAAGTCTTCTGCCACACAAATACACATGAGATGATGCAGAGTAATTTCAGGTGTATCAGTAGGTGCCAAAGTGCCCAAAGACAGAAACGTTAGCAATGAAGAACTGCTTTTCAGACTAAGCATCAAAACAACCACAACCTACTCACTGATATGGAATACGCAAAATTATATACACACTTCAACTCATATGTAGCATTTCATGTAGTTCTCATAAATCCTAACCAAAAGCATTAATAAGTAGCTTGTTAGTTTGACTGTAATTCTGCAAGTGCATGCTGGAGGTTCTCACCTTTTAGTAATAACCTTTTAAAACTACAAGGACTGTTTTAAAGAACCACAACTTTTTGCTATCTTAATGCATCAAGGTATGTTAGAAATTAAGCAGTACCATGCATTAATTTTAGTTTGTCATCACAGTGAATATTATTTAACTATTTCCTCTTCACTAAGGCTCCTATTTCCTCTTTTTCTACAGAGACAACATAAAATTTCAGCATAGCAGCAGCTCTAAAATATGGAGAAATTGAGCATAGTTACTTTTGGGGGTTTATTTGAGCAAGATTACATGTTGCAAAGGGATTTCTAATGAGATCTCAAGAAAGAAACCAGTGTAAGACTGTAGATTGGTCAAACTTGCAAGTTGCTACTATTTCAAGAATGGTCAAATGGACAGCATTTCATGCATTTGTAGGTTAATTACTCAGCATACTTACGTACTTAAATCACCACCAGAAACTATACATCATGAGTGCAACGATACAGCACTGTTTTCCAGAAGGTTACACACAAAACCTGTACACAACACTTAGGCTCTAGGAAGTAGTGATATAAGGCATGCACTAGTTAAAACATGTGCTGTGAAAGTATACTTGCTATGTGTACATCTACTAAGAAGTTAGGCTTTTAATGAGAATCAGTAAGAGCAGGAGAGATTTTTTTCAAGGTTTCTATAAAAAAGTGGTGTCTCTATGGAAAGAAGAGAAATTGTGTCCAAAGGTCTTATTAACAAGACATTGTCCAGCAATTAGACGCTTTGCACTGAAGGCGACACATCAGGAAAAGTAAGTAACAATAAACCACATGATCACTTTGTTTGGGATTTGAGGTTATTGGAGAATCTGAGAATACAAACACCTAAACCTCTTTGCAAGCTATTTGTATTACTGTTAAGTTTGCTGAAAATTGAGAGCTATAATTCTGATCCTGGTCTTAATGGATGCTTTCCTCTCAAGATGTGACACTTTTTAAATACTTTTTTAATTTTTTTTTTTTTTTTGACTAAAAGCTAACCTGTGCCTCATGTGTTAACAACAGCTCTATCAACTGGCCAAAATGCTGAACAACAGTAGTGAGCATTTCATTAATACAAGACTTGATGGACTTCAGTATCTGTTCATCTTCAGTTTGTATGCACCTGAAAAGAAAGAGAAAGGAAATGGATGAAAGCAAAAAAATGCAACAGACAATTATTGTTTTATCAAGCTGAGCTCTGTGTTAATAATCAGGATATAATGAGAATTCAACTGTTCATGAGGACACTGTCTTTGTGACATTATACCAGACTTCAATCAAAGCTTTTTCTATAAATAGCAAATATACCAAAGACAACAGTGGATATGAATTAATAATTTTGGGATCACAATTTATTTCACAGACTGCAGGCCAAATTTTGCCACAGATGTTGTGCATTTATACTGGTATAATTCTGCTATTTTCCATCTATGCTAATAGTTACAGCCACTCTATGTTACCCGCATTTCAGATGAAGCTGTATATATCCATTTTTCATGATGAAAGAAGCGCTTTCAATAATTTTCATTTCTTTACTTCTTTGCCATAGTTTAACATAGCAAGGTAAGGACCAAAAATGGATGTGTGTCCAGGTAAGTAAAGTCCATTTAAATATAAACAGCATACTCAAAAGTCAGATTTGTCCTTCTACGTGGAATGATTACATGTAGTGTTAGTATAACTATTCTGTAAGCAGTGATACTTGGCTGTAACCAAATGAGATAAAGATGGGAAACTTTATACAATTCAAATGAAATAACTTGTGCTTCCTCACAGAAATGCATTCATTTGAATTGTCAAAACATATTCCAACCAGGCAGGTCACTGTAACGGAAGATACAGTTTGATCAGGTTCTCTACCTACACAGTAGATTAATTTTTAAGCTTTACCTGACTTTCACCCATCTATATGAACTTTTTGTCAAACAGGCAAGGAAGGAGAGGTCTGATATGGGGCAAATACTAAAGATCAGAGCACTTATTAAATCAGTGTGTCTCATTGTAGTATATAAAAGTAACATCTGATCTGTGTGGGTTTGGCAAAAACTAGTAATGATCAAGAAAAGTTCTTTCCTGATAATTAGATGGTATCTCTCCCCTGATGATCTCCCAAGCAGAATGACTTCTACAGTGTTTAAAGTAAATCAAAAAAAGACTGAACTGTTCTGGAGGAAACAGGATAACTTATGTTAAGCAGAAGAAATACCATGAGAAGAGATTCTTATTTTCCAGTCTCGGCATTCTGGAGTGCACAGAGCTGAGTAAACCTACAACACCAGTTTAAAGGAATGTGCATATATTTCAGTTTGATTTACTAATACACGCATATGTGCATATGGGAACATGCACTATGATAGTCTTGTAATATAAGTTTTAACACCACCTGAAATCTTGGCTCCACAGAACTTCAAGGGAACTTTGTCACTGATATCATTAGAGACAGACATTCTCTGATGTCTAAAAGCCCTGAAAAAATGCACTTGCACGCAGCTCTGTGTCTATGCCAGATTCTTTGTGTAACAACACATCCCATCTTTCATTAGGATGCAGTTTAGATAAAAGTAACTCACTTCACCAACCAAAGACTACCATTTAAAAAGCCTTTCACAGCTTCAGCAGTCTAGTTCAAACATTTGAGGGTGTTAGTGTGTTTGTACTTTTCATTAGAAATCCTACAACATAACAAAATTAATATTTGAACTAGAAAGTTTATATTACCTTTCTGTGAATGCTGTAAATTCTGAACACTTGTCTAATAAAAGTTTTTCAAACTGCAGAGAGAGAAAGACAAAGTGGTTTTGAAGCAATATCCATACACACAATTGCTTTCTAAATAAATAATGCTTGTTTATGATAGTTAGATGAAAACCCTCCAGAAACATATTTCATATATAGACATCCTTTTTCTACTTTTCTGAATAAAACAAATAGAGATAAAAATGAAATTAACAAAAAAAAAAAAAAAAATTCTACTTCTAAGTAAATGCAAAGAAACTCACAGATGGGGGCTCTAATTACTTTAGTCCAGTAGTCCTCAAAACCAAAATTTTTTCAACATTATTAACATTCAGAATCAGGCCTATAGGATCCAAAATGAGTTAAGAGTGTTTCCATTCCTGAAAAGCATCAGAAAGTCTTAAACAAAGGACCAATATTGGTGTGTAAAGATTTCTTGCAGTTTTACTTATTGGAAATAAATAAATAAATAAATAAAATAATACACAGGACAAACATGACATCAAGTAAGGCATCCTACCTGGTGCATTTCTTCTGAAGAATTCCTGGTGAATGCATTGTATTCATTTATCATTGAACGCACATGGCAGTTGACTCTCACTGTCATGCTGTGGACTCTTTGCCATCTTTTTTTCTCCAGCTTTTGAGAAATCCTTGTCAGCTCTGTGCTTATGATCCAAGCTCTTTTTAATAGCAGCTGCAAGTTATCACATGTACTATATTGTGAGGAAAGCATAAGTTCATTTTGTTCATCCTTCTCAATGCTGATTGGCTTGGACTGGAGAATACACATGCATTCACAGTCTGTCATCAACTTCAAATCCTCCATCCATCTCTGAACAGAGTCCACCTGAATTAAGTGCATGCTAGAAGGCAGAGAAAGGGAAAGAAGAACAAGGTAAAACAAAATAACCTTCAAATAACTACCAGCAATACCATAAAGTTGCATCCTCCCAGGTTGCAATTCATTGACAAAAGACAGCTAATAGAGCAAACAATTTGCTTGTTGTAACACAGCAACACACTTAGTTTTCTATGCCAAACACAAGTTTTGATTTTCTAATCACCCTTACACCACATATTCTGCTATAAAATCACTTGTGAAAATCCATCGAGATTAGAGATAAGCAGAAGTTTAGACTACACTTCTAGGGGAAATGTTTCTTGTACGTTCAGAGTTTGATATGATGATGAGTGAGCAAACCTATAGGTGTGGTTGATAGTTATGTATGGGACTGTGTTGTCAGGGTTTTTTACACTTTGCCTATTATGCACAACAGAGAAATTTTTACCTTGCAGCATCTCTCCAGAGCCCTTCCACCCACACTGACACAGCCAAACCAAGACAGTGAAAGCTACGGTCAGCAACAATATCTGTTTCTGCCTTATCATAATCCTGTAAACCTCAGCTGCATTTTACTTTTCGACTTAGTCTTTTAGCTTCACACTTATTTTTCATTGCTCTCTGAACAATTTGCCCATCTGAATTCCAAAACATACATTTTGCTCTGCAGCAAATATGATGTGAACCAGTGAGGCTGAAAACCCCCTTAATGAGTATATTCTGACACAGGGGCAATGGGCTCGCATTTTGTACCCTCCAGGTAATAAAAAGTGGTACCCAAGAGCAGCTGTACTGAGCTGTTCTGAGCTCAGCTTTGTGAGGAATCCCAAGTTCTCCAGAGCCTTGAGGTAGAGTTCCCCAGATTTTTTTCTTATAGTGAGGTGTCCAGATCCTAATAAAAAAATCAACTGAATTCTCACCCCAACAATATACACATACAGAGCCAGGTTTTATTAAACATGACTAGTGTTATTAATGTTGTATCTAATGGTATATAAAGGTCAGGTATAGGATCCTAGGTCAGGCAGAGTTTACACAACTGCATTTATCCTTATATACCTTGTCTTTGCAGACAAACTATAGTTTCTACTTTAATTTAGCTCAGGGAGTTTCCTAGTGGCAGCACCCTGATCCCTTTGACTCTCTGGACATTTGCTCTCTCTAAGGCCTGCCTGGCCCATTTCTGCCTCCTGCAGTCTCTCAGACCATCTGCACGAAATGTAGGCTCCCCATCTCATACTTTGACCCTCTCCTACCACACCTACCAGTGGACCTCTGTTTCCCTTTGGAGAAGTGAGCTCCCCAAGGAAGGAGCGTCACCTCTGCCAAGGGATCCCATCTGACCCTTGCTTCCAAAACAACCACAGAACAGGCACTGTCTATTGTCTCCAGAAATCATCCATCCTTTTGTCTGGGGTTGTGTGGGTTTTTTTTTTTTCAGATTTAACAGCTCAGATATTTTCAGTTTACATTTCCACTCCCAAATCTTCTCAGGAGACCAGTTCCTATGGTAAATAAATGCATACAAAAAAACACTTTTAGCATCAACAGTAGACATAAGTATATATGTAAATACATGTATAAATCTAAGGGACATTTACATAGAGCTAAGGGGAAAAGACAAGTTATTGTTAAAAAGCCATCATATATATCCAAATTCTTTACATTTTCCTTCACTTAATGCAAAAGCTTAAAGTATTGTCAATTATTGTTGCTGAAATTAACCATGGTTGCAATGGTAATGACTGACTTTATCAATATCTGTGCCCCACTAGGCTCATTATATCCCCTCTCAATGCAACATCATTCATGGTAATAAAGCAAAGCGGGAGGCCAAGTGTTCAAAGTATCACTGCAAGTCTCCATGGCACAGTAGATGTTGATTTTTATAGGTCTAAAAAAGTTTCTGTGGAATTTATAAATGCAAGCATGACTAGCAAATGTAATATTTGCATACACACTTCCAAAAGGGGCACTTTACTCAGCAAGAATTTCAGATTTCTGATCTACAACTAATAAAATCTTTTTTTTCTGAGTTTTCACCAGCCGAAAACTGTCTTAATTTCTAGCAAGTTTCCTTAATATGACATGAAATACTGCAAAACCTTAGTATCTTTTTCTCTAGTGGAAGGTGGATTGATAATAAAAGGATTACAAATAATTAGAGTTGAAAGGCGAAGAAGAAATAAAATAAGTGAAAACAAGAGAAACTTGCCTTGTTTTCATCTGCTCCTCCTAATGGAAAGTACAACTGTAGAATTTAGGCTGTTCTGTCATTTAAACTTAGTATACTTTAATGCACAACAATAGCAAATATAACACAATTCACCTCTTTTCAGACAGAATAACCATAGGAAAAAGTCTCCCTACTCACTACATCAGATTTTCTGACACATTATTCTTTAAAATATACATATATCACGTGAAATACATAAATGATTCATTTTTATACACATCTCCTTGTGTTTAGATAAAATCTTCCTAAGCAGTCAACAGATGAGTTTGTAGATAATTTTTTTATAAATTAAGGAAAGCAAAAAGTGTGATCATTCCTAATTAGCTATTAAGAATCATATTTCAGACAGCATTTATGGAACTCCAAAAACAAGACGAAAATTTCCATTTTGTCTCCCATTACTGAAAAAGAAAAAAATCATCTATGCTTACAAAATAAAAACAGCTATAATGGGTCAGATTAAAAAAAAAGTATCTAGTCCATTATCCTGCTCCCAGTACGGCCATTAGGAGATGCATAAGGAAAGATTACAAGAGGCATGGCAAGAGCTGAGCAACTTCCCCTTCCCATCTTCTGGCAATTAGTGGTTTAGGAACTTCCTAAGCCAGCAGTTGTGTCTGAGCAGGATGTTTTTACAATCCATGAAACAAAAGTAGCCATTAAACCCTTTTAGAACTCAGTTAAACTTTCATCCCTTACATCTAGTTGCAGTGTCTCACATTATTTTTTTGTATGAAGAAGTGTTTCTTATTGTTTGTGTTAAACCTGCTGCCTGGAGATACTAACACAAGCCTTTTATTTCTTGTATGCTAAGAGATATCTAAGTGGTAGTTCCATATTCACCATCTGTGTAAATCATTTTATTTTTTGTGTTCTCTTGGTTATCTTGTTTCCAAGGTATAGAAACTCAGTCTATTTAATCTGTTGCCATACAGAAATAATTCTACTCTTCCAGTCATCCACTTACTTTCCCCACACGTTCAAAAAGTATTTTCCAGTCTTCCTATACCTTAAGATGTTGTCCTGGGTTCAGCAGTAGCAGTCATTTTTTCTCCTTCTTAGTAGCTGGTGCAGTGCTGGTTTTTTGACTTTTGGCCTGGGAACAGAGCTGATAACGCTGATGTTTTTAGTTACTGCTCAAACGTTTACTCTGACCAAGGACTTTCTGAGCCTCATGCTCTGCCAGAGAGGAGGGGAAGCCGGGAGGAAGCAGAGACAGGACACCTGACTCAAACTAGCCAAAGAGGTATTCCATACCACAGCACATCATGCCCAGGATGTAACTGAGAGTTACCCGGAAGGGCTAGTTCACTGCTCGGGCTGGGTATTGGCGCATGGTATTGTATTCTCTTCCCTTGTTATTTCCCTTATCATTATTATTATTGGTGGTAGCAGTAGTGATTTGTGTTATACCTTAGTTACTGGACTGTTCTTATCTCAACCCGTGGGAGTTACATTCTTTCGATTCTCCTCCCTGTCCCACCAGGAGTGGGGGTAGTGGGGAAGGAATGGAGGGAGTGAGAGAGTGATACTGCGTGGCTGACAGAGTTTAAAACACAACAGTTCTTTTGGCACCCAACGTGAGGCCCGAAGGGTTGAGATAACAACACATCTGACCAGAGTGTGTCTAATCGTATTGTGGGAAAGCACAGGAGATGGAAGGCAGCTATATGGAGTCCTTGACAACAAGTTGCAGAAACTGCTGAAGGAGAGGGTGAATCGAGTCAGTTTGCTGAGGTGAAAGCCATCCAGCTGGCCTTGGACATTGTTGAATGAGAAAAGTGGCCAGTACTTTTTATCTCTATACTGACTCATGGATGGTGGCAAATGCCCTGTGGGGGTGGTTGAAGCAATGGAAGCAGAGCAACTGGCAGTGCAGAGGTAAACCCATCTGGGCTGCTGCACTGTGGCAAGACATCACTGCCCATGTGCATAACCTGGTGGTGAAGGTACGCCATGTAGATGTTCATGTACTCAAGAGTCGGGCCACTGAGGAACACCAGAACAGCTATGTCCTGCTATGTAATACTTTTATAGCCCACCAACTAGATGTCTTCAGGTCACCAGCGACTGGCCCTGACTTCCCTCTGACCATCATCCCAACAAAGAATGAACTTTGATAGAACCAGATAAGTTCTGCAGTAAAGGAATGATCAGCATCAGCAGGCAATGATCCAACTGCATGGCTGACAGAGTTCAAACTATGACAGATGTGATGGCAAGAAATTCACACAATATCCAAAATTCAGGTAAATTACAGATTTCTACATTGGAATTACATTTTCTGCACAGTACCTGTTTTCCAGCAATTTCCCAAATTAATTTTGTTTTGCTTAAGTGTTATACACACAGCTTTCTTTTTTACCTTTCAAAAAATCTACTATTTTTATTTCAGAATCTCTCATCAGTGATAATACATAATTTAAATTTCACTATTCTATGTCAGATGAGAGAGATTTTTCTTCAGTTCCCTTCCCCTCCTCTTATGCAGTACTTTACATTCATTAACGTACAGTTTCTTCCAACATGATTTAGCATAAGGTGTCCCTGCCCATGGCAAGGGGGTTGGAACTAGATGATCTTAAGGTCCTTTCCAACCCTAATGATTCTATGATTCTATGACATTTTACATTTCAGTGTCTCAGTATTATGAGACTTTTTGTGTTTGTTCATTATTTTAAATTAACCTGACCAGTTTTGCATTAGCAGAAAGTGTTGTTGTCCTGCTATTACAACTATTTTTCAGATCATTAAATACATTAATCAAGATTGGATTAAGTGTAAGG